CAGCGGGAAGACCTGATATTTACCTTGAGCCAGATGGCTACGGTGGTATGTATAAATGAAATGTTGGTCGTGTTGGTGCATAAAACTCCCTGCCGCGCCACTTGATTCCGAATCCTAACCTGTGCTTCGTATGATCATGGTGTGTACCCGCTGGGTAGCGATTTCCATTACTAGGAGCCTCTCATCCGCTGAAGGGATAGAAAGTGCTTAGAATACTGAGCAGCATAAAGGCAATCCGTACTTGTAACGAGAGAATCCTCGTTCCAAGTGCGGATCAGTGATTCTCACGCGCATTCGATTCCCCCTCGCCGCATTTCTCCCCATCCTTCCTCATTGATGACTCGCTTGAACTGTGGATATCCACACTCCGACCTGTGCGTCCTCTGTTTCATCCAACTCGTCGCAATACTCGTTAGTGACGTTCACTGCGCAGGCTCTCAGTCTGAGCTTTCCGCACCTTGAACTCTCCCAAATGTTCGTCACCACATGAATCAGTCCAATGCTGTAGCCAGTTTAAAGGCATCACCCCTTATACATCTCATTTGAGGTTATTTCCGAAACTGATGGTATTCTCATACAAACAATTCGTGGTGATTGGTGACACAGGATAACCGTGAATAGAAAAGGTTATTGGTTAACTTTTCTTCATCACTTCCGGGATGGAGTCACCGTTATCTTGTCCTCAATTCATTTCATCTGACGTAAGGGATTGAGGGAATAGCAACAAGTCAAGCGGGTCAAAATGAGTTTTTGGGTGACACACGGGTTGCCCAATTGCACGGCAATCAGTCAGTCCTGCTGAATTTTAGCAAGCGACGATTATTCGATTCAATGGAGCTTGGGAGGATCGAACCCACGGTCTGCTGGAGTGCGGAAATTCTGATGTAGTCTAGCTGGTTAGGATTCGTGACATTCACCCACGTGACCGGAGTTCAAGTCCCCGCATCGGAATTTACTTGTAATGATTGAATCTATGGGGTTTTCGGGTTTCGGGTTTCGGGTTTCGGGTTTCGGGTTTCGGGTTTCGGGTTTCGGGTTTCGGGTTTCGGGTTTCGGGTTTCGGGTTTCGGGTTTCGGGTTTCGGGTTTCGGGTTTCGGGGTTTCGGGTTTCGGGTTTCGGGTTTCGGGTTTCGGGTTTCGGGTTTCGGGTTTCGG